TATTAGCACAATCAAATGTTCTGGGATTCCTATTCTTCTCAGAGTCAGCCACAGCCTGTTGTCATCCACACAATCAAAAGCCTTTACATAGTCAATTTGAAGATATGAAGTAAATAAAGTAGCACCATTTTTCCCCATCTGTCTAAGAGTTTGGAAACAGTCAAGGTACTGAGTATTTAGATAACAGAATTTATTTATTATACTTGAGACTCAATGACTCTATTTTTCTTGCAAATCTCTATTGTGTAGAGAAGTTGGCCATGATTGTTTTCTCTATCAATAGATTCTTTGCTATGGCCTTGCAGTAATGTTTACCAGGGAAGGAATATAATTAAGATACATGTTTATATAAAAAGGCTATGGTATGACATGCCAAAGACAACCTTAATATTTAGAACACTAAGATAGAAGCATAATTAGAAGAAAATGTTTTTAAAATGCTCCATCATATTAAGGAATAAAAGCTATAAGATAGAAATAAAAATGTTTAGAATAAAAAAACCCTAGTTAGCCCATTTTATGAAAGCAAATTCCATTAACAAATAGTAAGTGTATTTACCAAAGGACCAGACATCAGATTTGCTGCTGTACTTGTTGAAATGAAAAACTTCAGGAGGGGACCACTTGACTGGGAATTTGGCCCCAGAAGAACTGATATACTCATCATCCAAAACATACCTAAAGTCACCAAATTCAAAGTAGAGTGTGTTAATTACCTTCAAATTCATTTTACTTCAAATCAAACACAATTAGTTAATCCTGAGTTGCTTAAAAGGAACATATTTTAACCCAGTAATGTTCTATACAACTTTACTTCTTATTCACAAAAATGGAAAATTATCTCTGCAAACAAACCTTCAATTTTATTCCTCCCCAAAAATACCTTTTTGAATTGTGTTTCTTTTATTTGGATCTCAGAAAACCATTACACTTTTTGTATTCACTTTAAGGCATGCATTATGCTACAAAAAGAAAATTAAAAATAACTACATTTATCTATCATCTATCCTTTCTTGTGTACCATTAAATTGGATCTGACTGGCACAGGAGATGGCTCCTCCTTTTCCAGCAGAGCATCTGGTGGATTTGAACCCCATGCCTTTGGGATTCCAGTGCAACTTCTTTGCCACTAGGCCACCAGATCTCCTGATAACTACTCTTCTAATAATGGAAAAATTAATTCCAAGTTGGACACTGCATTTTCGTTTATTTTGCATGCAATTTTTGCATAGTATAGATTAAGAGGGTAAAGCTCAACATACTTAAACATAATGCTTTTGATGTGAAACTGCATTAAAATGACATTACCTAGAAGGTAGTTCTTGGCTGAAAGAATACTAGAGAGATGTTTACTTGTGTATTATTGACTATGCAAAGGCATTTGACTGTGTAGATCATAACAAATTGTGAATAACATGAAGAAGAATGGAAAATCCAGAATGCTTAATTGTGCTCATGTAAAACCTGTACATAGACCAAGAAACAGTCATTCAAACAGAACAAGAAGATACTGCATAGTTTTAAATCAGGAAAGGTGTGCACCAAAGTTGTATCCTTTCTTCATATCTAGTCAATCTCTATGCTGAACAAATGATTTGAGAAACTGGACTTTATGAAGAAGAATGTGGCTTCAGGACTGGAGGAAGATTTACCAACAGTTGTGTTTTGTTGTTAACATAAGCTAGTTTGTGGAAAGTGATGAAACCTTAAAGCACTTACTCAAGAAGATCAAATATTACAGTCTTCTATGTGGATCACAACTCAATATCAAGGGAACAAAAATCCTCAAAACGGAACCAGTAAGCAACATCATGATAGATGGAGAAAAGACTAAAACTGCCAAGGATTTCATTTTACTTGAATTCACAACACCCAAATAATAGCAGTAAAAAAAGTAAAAGAAGTATTGCATTGGGTAAATCTGCTGTCAAGGATCTCTTTAAAATACAAAAAAGCAAGGATGTCAGTTTTAAAACTAAGATATATCTGACTCAAACCATGGTATTTGCGATTACTTTGTATGCATGTGAAAGTTGGACAATGAATAAAGAAGACCAAAGAAGAATTGATGCCTTTGAGTTGTGGTGTTGGTGGAGAGCACTGAATATACCAGACTGCAAAAAGAATAAACAAATCTTTATTGGAGGAAATGCAACCAAGGTGCCCCTTAGAGGTAAGGCTTCATCTCACGTATTATGGGCATGTTGTTAAGAGGAAGTAGACCTTGGTAAAAGATATTCTTCTTGAAAAACTAGAAGGTCAGCTAAAGAGAGGAAGACTTTGAACGAGATGAATTGACACAGTAACAGTAACTGAGTTTTAGCATGATGGGGACTGTGAGAATGGTCAAGACAGGGCATAAGGTAGCTATGACGTCATAGTTAATGCAATAGCATCTACCAACAAAAGCCTGGAACATCAGTGACTTATTTGAGTTAGGTATACGAATCCTGTATCCTTCAAGGGCATCGCAGATATATGGAGCAGAACAGAACCTAAGTTTACTTTACCAGGTAGAACCTTATTAAGAGGCCAGAAAGATCCCAGGTGAAAAGTAGCTGTGGTAGTGCCTTGGTAAAATGAGCCTTAGATAATGTCATGAAGTTTTCTAATCACAGAGAAGTTTCTCTAAAAAACTTGAGATGAGACAACAGCTAATTGTGTGGAAAACTAGCCAAGAACAAAACATGAAGATAATGACAACAAACAGGCTCATGTGAATAGAGAAAGACAAGCATCAGATAGATGGACTCTCTCCCTACAAGGACTGCATCCCCATGAAACACATGTAACTTGGACTTGGAACCAAAAGAGAATCAGGGAGAAAACATGAATTTCCTGAGATTCAATTTCTTACATGCTAAAGAAAGGGGCCTCAAAATACAAGCCATATTGAGTTACATTTTTTCACATTCTTGAGTTATAGATTTAAAGTCACAGTTATTGTTGTTGTGTACCGTTGAGTAGGAACTGACCCACAGCTGGCATTCCAGCGGGTTTTCAAAGGTAATTCATCTCATGGGAGGAGATTGTCTATCCTTCTCTCGTGGAGCAGTGATTCAGACCACATGCCTTCAGGATTATAGTGCAGCTTCTTACCACTAGAGCTACCTAGTCACAAGTACTGCATCTTATAACAGAAATATGTTTTGTGACGAATGTATTTATGTTTCTTTTCAGAAATCCACAAACTGAAAAACATTTTTTCTTAACCTTTTAAATATCATGAATAGACTAGGAGATTATTTTTTTAAATGTTTAAGAGACCTCAAAGTGGGTTTGTGGTGGTGGTTGTTTATGTAATGACCTAAAAGATCAGAAGAATAAAAACCAGTTGGCATCAACCCTGATTCAAGATGGATGTTTCCATGTGGTGGTCTAGTGGTAAGGAGTTGCTGCTTTGCAGTAGAAGGATGGGTTATCTCCTTCCATGTGATTTACTGTCTCTCAAAATGCATTGGAGGGTCAGCTAAGTGCTGGTTCCAACTTGAAGTACGTAGCAACAACAACTGTGTGTGTCAGAGTATTCAATGACTGATTGTTGAAAGCAGTTCACTACTCCTTTCTTCAGAGGTTCCTCTGGGTGGACTACAATGTCCAACCTCTCAGTTAGTAGGTGAGCATATTAACAATTTCTACTATACACAGACTTGGATTAGAAGAATTAAAAAAAAAATCCTCATTGTGACCAAATGGATTCTTGTGGCAATCCCATGTGTTGAAGAAGGCCACAATAAATGTTTTCCTAGCTCCTAAAATTCATGTTGTTCTTGGGTGTCAATGAATAGATTCTGACTCATTGCAACCTTATGTGAAATAGAGTAAACTGTTACACAGTCCCGTGTTATCACACAATAGTAGGTAGGTTTCAGCCGTTGTTAGAGTTCCTATGTCACAATCCAGCTCCTTACAGGTCTTCCTCTTTTTCACTGACCTTGTATTCTACTAAAATGATGGATGTCATTTTTTTAGGGATTAGTCCGACTTGATAATATGCCCAAAGTTAGCAAGATGACATTAGCAAGATGGTCAAAGAGAAGGTCAAAATAACTTTATTACTGTAGACTGTCAAAAGAATATGTTTACGGCATTGAAGTCTATGGGGGAGAGAATAGTCGAAAAGTATTATATTTTAGGGCATTATTTTTATCGTAGGAGTATGCAATGAGGGTTGCAGAGGGGATTACATTTGGGGCTAGGGGTTTGGGGAGGTGTGGGGGGGGGATTGTGTACCAATGAGGGAGTTTTTCTTTTGCTTTTCAAGGAGAGAGGAGCAAATGGGGGGGAGGGGGGAGGGCTTTGTGCGGGGAGAAGGGTGCAACAATGAATGAATGGAATCCCAAAATCTCTGTAGATGTTCATTGAAATGAAAAATAAACAACCTAAATTTAAAAAAAAAAATAAAAAAAGAATGAGAAGATCTGTCTTGGAAGAAATAACAGCTAGAACACTCCTCAAAAGTAAGGATGGTGAGACTTCATCTTGCTTTCTTTATCTACAACTGATGTCTGTCCTAAAATGAAAAGTGGGTCAGAGGCCACAGAACCACAGCAACCCTTCCTTCAGAAAAAATCAAAACTAGACCCGTAATGACGTCAATTGGCCAAGCAGGCAAATGTGCAATTCCTTTTTATGACTAAACGAAAAAAGATATCTCATGTACCTTGTCATTCCAAAGTCTGAAATTTTTACAATGCGTGTGGAACTGACCAAACAATTTCTTGCCGCCTATAGAAGAAAGAAGAGAATACATATTTGAGTACAAGGTCTGCTGTCAAGACTTTCTCACTCTCTTTTCCTTATTTAAGCATCTCATCACCTCTCTATACTGTGAACCATGTTATTTTTATGATGATGTATGTCAATAATAGCTTGTTCTCACATAATAGTAAATTTTAATAGTTCTTCAAAGAATAATAGAAAATAAAAAAGACATTTTGTTACATTTATTTTTTAAAATTTTTAATTTTTTTCTCAAGAAGTTCCTATGGGGAGAGAAAAGAAGAAAGAAGTTCCTATGATAAATATAAGGATTATCTTAATTGGGGGAGGGAACCCAAAAAAACAAATCCACTACTACTATTACTACTACGACTACTACCACTTCTACTACTACTATTACGATGAGGTCAATTACAGCCCATGATGACTAACCGTTGTGTTGGATTTCCAAGCCTGAAAAGCATATGGGAGAGTGTTCATCATTCTCTCATGCAGTGATGGTTGGATTTGAACCACCAAGAACGACCAACCTTCCAATTAGCAGCCCAACATGTAATATACTCTGCCACCAGTAATGTATGCTGAGATGAGGTAAGAATAACATTGGCTATGATTGTTAAAGGAAGTTCTGGTGTCTTAGTTGTAAGGAGTTGTACTGCAAACCCAAAGGCTCATGGTTCGAATCCACTAGTCACTATATGGGAGAAAGACAGGGAATTTCTCCTCAGACTCAGACTCTGAAAACTGGCTTGAGGGTCAGGTATGAGTCACTCTCACACAACAACAGCATCATTGTTAAAATTATATGTTATTTTACCTAGGCCAGAATTCTTCTAGTTTGACAGTAATATAATGTTGTAATTGGTAGTCATCCCCAACTTTGTGATACTATGTGATCATTATCCATTTTCTCATAATAGAGATTTTAACATGACCTAGCCTTTGGAAATTAATCATGTTGATAAATGAAGAGCTGTTTTTGTTAGGTGATGTTGAGTACGACCCATAGCAACCCTATAAATAGCAGATGTGAACCCTGTTCTATCCTGTACCATTCTCACAATCACACACATACTGGAGCCCACTGCTGTAGACACTGTGTCAATCAATCCATCTGGTTGTGAGTCTTCTCTTTTTTACTGTCCGTCCATCTTTCCAAGAATGATAGCCTTCTCCAAGGAAAAGCCCCTCCTAGCTACATGCCCAAAGTATGTGAGATGAAATTCCATCATCTTTGCTTCCAAGGAGCACTCTGGCTGGACCTTCTCTAAGACATCTGTTTATTCTTTTGGCCATCCAGGGGATATTTGGCACTCTTTTCCAACACCACAGTTCAAAAGGCATCAATTCTTCTTCTCTCATCCTTATTCACTATCCTGATCTCAGATGCATAACAAGTGACTGAAAAGACTATGACCTGAATCAGATGCACCTTAGTCTTTAAACTGACATAATTTCTCCTCAGTATTATAGAAAGCACGATTAAATGTTCTGGGATTCCCATTCTTCTCAGAGTCAGCCACAGTTTGTTATGATCCACGCAGTCAAATGCCTTTGCATAATCAATGAAACACAGATAGACATTCTTCTGGTATTCTCTGCTTTCAGCTAAGATCCATCTAACATCAGCAACAATATCCCTAGTACCACGACACCTTCTAAACCCAGCCTGGACCTCTCGCAGTTCTCTGCTGATCTACTGTTCCAGTCGTTTTTGGATAATCTTCAATAGAATCTTGCTTGCATGTGAAATCAATGATATTGTTCTGTAGTTTCCACACTCAGTTGGGTCACCTTTCTTTGGAATGGGAACAAATATAGATCTCTTCCAGTCAGTTGGCCAAGTGGTTGTTCTCCAGATTTCTTGGCACAACTTGTTGAGCACATCCACGGCAGCATCTGTTAGCTGAAATATGTCAATTGGTATACCATCTATTCCGGGGGCCTTCTTTTTTGCTACTTCCTTCAGAACAGCTTGAACTTCTGCCTCCATCACCATAGGCTCTGGCTCAAATGCTATTTCATAACAAACTGGCTGACTCTGAGAAGAATGGGAATCCCAGAACATTTAATCGTGCTAATGCGAAACCTATACTTGGACCAAGAGGCAGTAGTCAGAACAGAGCAGGGCAACACTGCATGGTTCAAAATTGGGAAGGGTGTACACCAGGGATGTGTCCTGTCTCCATACCTTTTCAACCTGTATGCAGAGCAGATTATCTGAGAGGCAGGGCTCTATGAGGAGAAGCGTGGCGTTAGGATTGGTGGACAATCTATCAACAATCTGCGTTATGCAGATGACACAACCCTGCTCACTGAAACTGAGGAGGACCTCATGCACTTACTGCAGAGGGTCAAGGACTGCAGCCTTCAATATGGACTGAGGCTCAATGTCCAGAAGACAAAAATTCTCACCACTGGACCAATCGGTAGCATCAGGATGGATGGTGAAGAGATTGAGATTGTTCACAGCTTCAGTTTGCTCGGCTCCACGGTCAACACTCTTGGCACCAGTAGCCAGGAAATAAAAAAATGTATTGCAATGGGAAAGTCTGCAGTTAGGGACCTCTCTAAAGTACTCAAGAGCAACGGTGTCTCTCTGGAGACTAAGGTGTGCCTGATACAGGCCATGGTTTTTGCAATCACTTGTTATGCATCAGAGAGTTGGACAATGACTAGGGAGGATAGAAGGAGAATTGACGCCTTTGAGCTGTGGTGCTGGAGAAGAGTACTGAATGTACCATGGACTGCCAAGAAAACAAATAGATTCATCCTAGAGAGGGTTAAACCGGGCTGCTCCTTGGAGGCAAGGATTCTGTGGCTTCGCCTGACATACTTTGGACATGTTGTAAAGAGAGACAGGTCTTTAGAGAGGGACATCATGCTGGGCAGAGTGGAGGGACAGCGCAGGAGGGGAAGACCCTCTATGAGGTGGATTGATTCAGTGACTGGGGTAATCGGGATGGATGTGTCAGAGGCAGTAAGATTGGCACAGGATAGAGCATGGTTTAGGGCTGTTTTATGTAGGGTCACTTTGAGTCGCAAGCGACTCGACAGCACATGACAACAAACAGTTATAGAAAGATCCTTGACTGCAGACTTTGCCAGTGCAGTATCTCTCCTGATCTCCTGACTCTTGGTACCAAGTGTATTGATCGTGGATCCAAGTAAAATGAAGTTATTGACACTTTCAGTCTTTTCTCTGTCTATCATAATGTTGCCTCTTGGTCTGGTGGTGAGAATTTTTATCTTCTTGACATTGAGATACAGTCCATATTGAGGGCTGTAGTCTTTGATCTTCTATAATAAGCACTTCAAGTTCTCCTCAATTTTGGCAAGATTGTGTCATCTGCATTGCAAAGGTTATTGATGAGTTGTCCCCCAATGCTAATGCCATATTCATCTTCATAGAGTTTAAATTACAAAATAATTTGCTTAGCATACAGATTGAACAAGTATGGAGAAAGACTACACCTCTGATGCATGTCTTTCTTAATTTTAAACCATGTGGTGTTCCCTTGCTCTGTTCACACAACAGCCTCTTGGTATAGGTATAGGTTTTGCATGAACACAAGCAAGTAAGTGTTCTGGGACTTCCATTCTTCTCAATGTTAGCCATAATTTGTTATGATCCACACAGTGAAAGGGAGCTCTGGTGGTCTAGTTTCAAGAAGCTGCGCTGCTATCCTGAAAGCATGCAGTTCAAGGCTACCAGCTGCTCCACAGTAAAAAAGATGGGCAGTCTTCTCCCATGAGATTAACTGCGTCTAAAAATCCAGTGGAGGGTCAGCTATGGGTCGGTTCCGATTCGATTCCACCACCACCACCACACAGTCAAATGACTTTGCTTAGTCAATGAAGCACAAACAGACATTCTTCTAGCATCCTTTGCTTTCAGCCAGGATCCATCTGACATGAGCAATGATATCTCCTCTAAATACAGCTAGAACATCTGCTAACTCTATCTAGGTAGTGAGGGGTATGTGTGTGTGTGTGTGTGTGTGTGTGTGTATATATATTCTACTTGATTCTCAAACAATCCATTTTCAGACAACCTAATCAAGAAAGTAACTGATCTGTTTTGTTTAGCCTTACATAGGTCAATTGTTTGATAGACTTCTTCCCTTTTTGACTAATTAGTGGCTCCATTCATGTGCAACAAAAATAATGTGAGGGGAGAAAATCCCATATTGAACAGGTAAGGCAAGAGGTGACATTATGAAAGATGCCAGTAAAATCTGTAAATAATCTCAAAGTGGAAACCACAAGATAAAACTGTGATGGGGAAAGGAATCATTTTTAGCTTAAAAATAATTTTTTTAAATTTTATTTTATCAATTTTAATGAACATTTACAGAGATTTTGGCTTTTCATTCATTCACTGTTGCACTTTTTTCTTTACCCCCCTCCCCCAGTTCGCTCCTCTCTTTGAAAAGCAAAAGATGAACTTCTTCTTCATTGGTATAGAATCCCTCCAGCCCCACCCCTGCCTCCCCCCTCCCCACCCCAAATGCACTCCACTATGCAACTTTAATTCTGGATTCCTGTGATAATCATAATATGCTATCATATATCACTTTTAAAGTGTTCTCTCCCTCATCTGTTTCAGTTCAGTATATATAATCTATCCAGTTATTCTCAGTCTTACCCCAACCCTGATGTCAGTTACTTTCTACAACAGTGGCCCCATGTAGTATTTGTCCTTTTGTGACTGAGATAGCTTATATATTTTAAGTGACATGTTGTTGTTGTGTACCATTGAGTCAGAACCATCCCATAATTGACCCCTCCCAAAGGTTTCAAAGGCAAATTTCACAGGAAGAGATTGCCCATTCCCCCACCCCCATGGAGCAGCTGGTAGATCCGAGCGCGTGCCTTTGGGATAGCAGCGCAGTTTCTTACCACTAGGTTACCATGGTCCCTAGAACCGGCTCCCACCTGGGTTTTCATTTTAATCCTTATCAGAAAAAAACAAATGTATAGAGAAAAGCTAAAGAGGTGAAATTGACATCTCCATCCATTCAAAACTTTGCTCAAGAGTTATTTTGTGCTGGATACTAGAAAAATGCATTATAGGAATATAAAAACATTGGCTTGTGTATCTGCAATAGTTAACATTGCTGAGTACTGTGAACTTTTAAGTACTCATGCATGTTAATTCCTGCAATCCTCTCAGTGAGCCTGTATGAAGGAGGTGCTGTAATTAAGGCTCCTTTACTAGTTAACTTGTACAAGGTCACACATCTAGTAAGAATCCGGATTTGAACCCAGATAGTCTGACATCAGGGTTGGGGTGAGAATGAGAAAAATTGGATAAATTATTTATACTGCATTGAAACAGATGAGGGAGAGAACAGTTTAAAAGCGATATATGATTGGGTATGGTAATCAGAAGAGTCCAGAATGAAGGTTGCATAGTAGAGTGTACTATGGGGGAAGGGGAGAATTATATACCAATGAAGGAATTTTTCTTTTACTTTTCAAAGAGAAGAAAAGTGACTGGGAGGGGGCTGGGCAGGGAGAAAAATGCAATAATGAATGCATGGAAACCCAAAATCTCTGTAAAACGTTCATTAAAATTAGTAAAATGCAAAACAACTATAAGATATAACCTCACCCCAGTCAAAATAGCAAAATTTAACAGAACAGCAAGCAACAAATGCTGGCGAGGTTGTGGAGAAATTGGAACCCTTATTCACTGTTGGTGGAAGTGTAAAATGGTGCAACCACTGTGGAAGACGGCATGGCACTTTCTCAAAAAGTTGCAAATAGAGA